GGCAGCAGCGCGCTGGCAGCATGCGCAAACACGGGCAGCAGGCCAGCAGTGGCAACGCGCGGGGCATGACTTGCCTAGTAAGAAACCAACTTTGAGAGAACTTTTGAGCTGAATCTTCTCTAGATTATTCTTCTCTACTTGGAGTGCAAGTCAAGCAATTAGTAGTTATAGTAATATTAGGATTTTGTTTCCTTGTTGCTTTTAATTATAGAATTAGGAGATCTAGTTTGGTTAGGCTTAAATTTAATTTATGCACCTATAAATACCCATGTACCTCTTCATTATTGAATGTCCAGAAAATTGATGAGTGAATAGAAAAGGGGAACTTGGTGTTTTAACGTGTGTTAAGCAAGACCGTAGTTCGTGTTTACTTACAAGTGTCGGAGAGAAGGCCATTAGTGCGTCTTGAAGTCACGGTGTCTATGAGAAGGCCGTAGTCCGTCTGTTAGTCACATCTATCGTGTGTAGTCGAAGGCCCGAGTGCGCGATTACATACAACCGAAATAGACAACAACCGCGATCAACACTCTCGATCACTCATCACGACGCCATGACGCACCATTTTAATCACTGGTCTAAAGGGACTGGTCTTGGTGTCAAATTAGGAATAATTTTCCGATTGTGTTGCTGCTGCTGGGTACTTAAACTGGGATAGGTTCTTCGTTTTTGGGACTAATTGGGTAGTTAATCTGGGACTCACTTTTCTTTGAGGGGGATAGAATATCTATTTTACATATTGTCTCGCGTCGTACAAAGTGCCTTGCCACACGCCTTGGCAAATAGGGGTTTATCACCTTGTCTCTTCACATGCCCTTATAATCACTTGTATTGACATTTATGAATTCATAAGGAAGATGGTGATGGTTTACAGTTACGAAAGCACGATAGACTTTTGTTAATGCAATAATAGTTGGGAAAAGACCTTATTGCTAAGAATATTTCATGAACTAATACCTTGAGGAGGTTATCTTGTTGTAACTAATGTTGGATAAGTTATAGAGGTGTTTTACTATGAGGTTCCTCAGCTTTCTTGCCATTAGATTGTTGGAGTAAATCAATGTTAGATTGACCTGTATTAATAACTAAGATTCTTTTTTGTTTAATTATTTATTTGTTTATTAAATAGTTATTTTGTGAGCATAAGCACTCTTGCACATTTAAGATTTAGAATATTCAGGAAGAAGGAATCAGTGAAGAACCTAATGAAATGTCAATTGTGTCTTCTGTACTATGTTGTTTATGCAGCAATTGTGTTCGTTCATATTTTAGGAAGACTGCTGGCTAAACAAGCAGTTAATGGTATCATTCTTCTTTTGGTCCAATTCACTTTGCTGGTATCTGATTGGACTCACTTGCATGGTGAACTTGATGTATAACTCTCTAATTTTCTGTTTTAAACTACTCAAAAGTCCCTTTAAGTGATTAGTTTTCTGGTGTGCTTCAGTGTACAGTTACTGCATGAAAAGAGTAATGGTGAACCTGTTTTTGCTTTCGTGATTGTTAACAATTACTTGTCTTGATTGAAGAACTTGTGATGGTTTCATTTCATGCATTAACCCATGATTTTCCACCCAAGTTTGGTAGAAAGTGGTTGTGTTTCACCTATTACATAATCTTCCTTGGGTCACTTGATGTCTGCATAAGATAGTCTCTTGTACACTTCTTTGAACTTTTTTTTCAATTTTATATCAAGTTCTAAATCTGTATGCCATTTTTCGATCTGTACATCAAATTTATTAGTTCACCTAGTTAAAATCTGAATGATTTTCAACGTGGATATTGCTCTTTTGCCTTGTCATTCCAGTTTAAAAAAATATCTTAGGTTACCGGATAAAAATAAATTATATTTTGCTTTTTGTAATGCTTTTCTTTTTACTAAATTCAAAGATTTCCTTCTTATTATTATTTCTCAGTGATGGAATTTTTCTAAAAATGCAAAACGTAGATTGGTGACAAGAAACACAAGCATAGTCTTTGTTTATGGTTTAACTGAGTCGTGATTTTGTAAGTCAAGAGGCTTCGTTTTTTTCCCTTTTACCGATGAGCTTCAAAGTTGAAAATATTTTATTATTTAGAATTTTGTTGAAAATATTTTATTATTTAGAATTTTTCATGGATAATTATATTTATTTCAAGCTGAGAAATAATGCCATGTTAGATTTTCTTGCAATTTTTATTTATTTAATTTTTTTATTTTAAGGGTTAGAAGTGGATAGGGAATAGTGATTACACATTTTTGTATCACATATGCGCAATGTATGCGTATATAGTTGTTTAATGAAACTATTCTTTGGTAGAAAAGTATTTAAATGGGATCCATTACTAGAGAGGAGCAATACTAAGGGCGTGCTTGGATACAAATACACCCGCTCAAAACAAGTTTTTTAGATTAACCGTGGTTATTTTTAAAATGGTGGTATAATTAGTTTTAAGTGAGATTTTGAGTTTATATTAAAATAATATTTGAAATAAAATAATTAAGATTAATTTGATATAAAAGTGGGAGTGAGATGATGTAAAGTGATGGTTAGTTAAAATTATGTGAGTGGATGAATATTGAATTGAAGATGATGTGATGTGTAAAATGATTGTCGATATTATTTAATTATATTTATAAATATTGAGGACAGTGAGGTTGAATTAGAGTTGAATTAGGTTTTCAATATGGATTAAGTATGAATTGAGTTATTTTATATACAAACACACCCTAAGTCTCCATGGTACAGAGAGGTTTCAAAAAGAAGCTGAGATGCTGCAGAAGCCTAGAAGAAGGAATTTTCTAATTCGTGAAAGGAAATTTCATTGTTACCGAATACTTTTTCTTGTAGCATGAGAAAAACTATTTGTTTTACTGCAGATCCCTCGTAAAGAATTTCATGTTTTGACCAGGACTGATGTATGTATTTTTTGACAACGATATATGAGCATTTAAAATTATTCATTGTGGAAGTTATAATGAATCCTTCTGGTGTAAATTGCCCTATATTCTTTAGCACACACTGAGTGATTTTCTTAATGCAGCTCTGGAAAATGATTCTGCTTTGGATCTGACTTGTGTTCTGACATTACATAACAGGTTGATATAGCCTATAGGTTAAGGTACAATAGATAATGATCGTGTTTGAGGTTTTTAATGAGAAGTTTATCTATGTATTATTTATTGATTATACTCTATGGTTTCATATTGTCCATTGCAATTGATGCTGGAAGATTCATTGTTGACAATTCTCCTGGCATAGTGCTAATAATGGACTAGTTCAAAATGACTCAATTAAATTCTAGTGCTTCTTCTATTAGTGAAGTTTCTAGAAAAAAGAATATATCAAACGGCACAATGCACCTTGGGTCGCTACGGAAACAGCCTCCTTGTATAATTACAAGGGTAAGGTCTGCGTACAACTGACCCCCCAGACCCCAACTTGTTGGGAATATACTGGGTATGTTGTTGTTGTTGTTGTTACTCTATGGTTTCATAAGTTCTTCTCAATCTGTCTTATAATGATCCTGTTTGAGATATTCAATGATAATGGTTGTTTATGTATTTTATTACTTATTGGGTCGAGCCTCTTTCATTAAATCTTCATCTCAATAGAGATAGAATAATCCTAGAATTATGTAATGTAATCATAGAACTTTGAGATGATGAGCTTGGTAGCAGAAACATGATTAAAAGATAGGTAAAAGCTCATAGATGACTCATTTTACAAGTTTACCTTATATTTAATAATTTGAAATGTCCTTGGAACTCAACAAAGTGTGCTTATGTGTGAGCATGTGTGAAATTCTACTATGTTGCTTACTAGAGACAAGAAAGGCTACATCAAGTGTCTTTAGGACCCAGTCAAGATTGGGATACCACCAACATAAGCCATGAAGTAGCAGATATCTCACATTAATTTCGGCATATACAGCACTATCAACAACTTTAAAGTTCCAAAAGTCCCATGTACGAGCTGTTGTATTGTTTGCAAGAAAACAAGCTGATTCATGGGCATTTTTCTGGGAATCTAGTTTATCATTGTGGTTGTGTCTTTTGTATTATTACATGATTAGTTAAGTGCTTTCAGGTGAATTTCCACTTTAATATGTTAGTTAATAATTAGTCATATTTTACCTTTCGTCCATGCAAAGCTGTTTGTACGGTAGAACCACTTTATTAGAATTCTTTGAATAAAATATAAACTTGTGATTGTTGGATCTTTGGGTTTGCAATAATGCTATGTAGTTACGTAGTACACTAATAAAACTTGCATATATGGTAGGTAGATCATCTTTAATGGCCAGAAATTGATCATGTATGTTCCCTGTACTATCATTAATCTATCTGTGCTATAATATCTATTAGTGTTTAATTCTTGCAATTATTAGTTTATAAGTGATCCTAATGTGCTCTTGTCAGGGTCTTGGCCCTTCTGCAGTACGAATAACAAATGGCAGACAGTCAGGAAAATGACAAGAATATTGAAATATGGAAAATAAAGAAATTGATTAAGGCTCTGGAAGCTGCTAGAGGGAATGGTACAAGCATGATATCCCTTATAATCCCTCCTGGTGATCAGATAGCCCGTGTGACTAAGATGCTGGCAGAAGAGTATGGGACTGCATCAAATATTAAAAGCAGGGTAAATCGTCAATCTGTGCTTGGTGCAATCACTTCTGCTCAGCAGAGGCTTAAATTGTATAACAAGGTCCCCCCTAATGGTCTAGTTCTCTACACTGGAACTATAGTCACCGAAGATGGAAAAGAGAAAAAGGTCACCTTTGACTTTATGCCATTTAAGCCCATAAATGCATCTTTATATCTTTGTGACAACAAGTTTCACACTGAACCTTTGACTCAACTCTTGGAATCTGACGAGAAGTTTGGGTTTATTGTGATGGACGGGAATGGGACACTTTTTGGAACTTTAAGTGGCAACACTAGGGAAGTGCTTCACAAGTTCACGGTTGATCTTCCAAAAAAACACGGAAGAGGTGGACAGTCAGCCCTTCGGTTCGCTCGTCTCCGAATGGAAAAGCGGCACAACTATGTGCGGAAGACAGCTGAGCTGGCAACCCAATTCTATATAAATCCTGCCACAAGCCAGCCGAATGTATCTGGTCTAATCCTCGCTGGTTCAGCTGATTTCAAGACCGAACTGAGTCAATCTGATATGTTTGATCCCCGTCTGCAGGCGAAGATCCTTAATGTGGTAGATGTGTCCTATGGAGGGGAAAATGGCTTTAATCAGGCCATTGAACTATCGGCTGAGATCCTATCCAACGTGAAGTTCATACAAGAAAAGCGCTTAATAGGTAAATTCTTCGAAGAAATCAGCCAAGACACTGGAAAATACGTTTTTGGTGTTGATGACACGATAAAGGCTTTGGAGATGGGAGCTGTCGAGACACTGATTGTGTGGGAAAATCTGGACATCAATCGTTACATGCTCAAGAACAGCGTAAATGGTGAGATTGTGATTAAATACTTGAACAAGGATCAGGAGAATGACCAAAACAACTACAAGGACCAGGACACAGCTGCAGAGTTGGAGGTTCAGGACAAAATGCCTTTACTTGAGTGGTTTGCTAACGAGTACAGAAAGTTTGGCTGTAGTCTTGAGTTTGTCACAAATCGGTCCCAAGAAGGTTCACAGTTCTGCCGAGGGTTTGGTGGTATTGGGGGCATTCTCCGTTACCAGCTCGACATTCGATCCTTTGATGAACCAGATGATGATGGTGGATTTTACGAGGATTCGGATTGAGATGAGCATTTTCTATTTTGTTAGTGAAAAATCAGTTACTCCTTATGGTTGTTGGGGCTTCATGATATGCTTGAGTTGCTCTTAATGTGTTTTACAATGTTAGATTGGCAATTCTGATGGACTTTCCTTTTCTTTTTTTTTTTTTTTTTTTTTTTTTTTT